AGGCTAAGATCCCTCTTCTTAGTTTCATTCACAACACCCAGACACTTGCCAAAAGCCTCTCTGATCTGTGTTTTTCTAAAAAATTTCTAAGGTACATTTTCTTCATGAGTCTCATCAACAACAAACTCTTCAACTGCTTAAAATAGATTTTACACTTTGTGAGGTCTTCCCATGAAACCCAGGTTCAAAGTGTTTGTTCTGATATAGGAACAAGTCTTGCTTAATCACTTATATTGTTCTTGGCCACATTTATTGGATTAAGACACTTTTTAACAGGAAAAGACACAGTGGCACATATATTAAATCAACATAACCTTTTGCTGTAAACACCAAGAAGGAAAGATTAAAAGCCCAGTTTCTTCAAATACACACTACATAAACAGCAATAAATTAATGTTTCCCACAAACAGGACATTTCTATGGCGAGAGCAAAAATAGGAACACTGAAGTGTTTTTAACTGTGTTTTACAATACAGGTTTTCTTTCCATGTACTAATTAAACCCATCTCTAGTCTAAGACGGGAACTGGGTTGCCGGCACCAAACAGCCATTTGACATTTAAAGATAATGTCACTGACAGACCCTACCAGCCAAGAAGCTACAGACGCAGTGACACACCACCACCATCACCTCTATTGTCATCATCACCAATGCCATCAAATATTTATGACTGTTTACTCGGCTGGAATATGCAATGCATCCCAGAGGGTGTCATCAATTTTGAATGATTCCCATACATTCAAAGTGGCTTCACAGGACATGTCTCTTGTTTTGGAACACACAAAATCAGCAATTTTCCCACGTGATTTATTTTAAAAAAGAAAACAATTAAAAATACAGTGAGACCATGCTTAATGTTAATCATAGAAACATGAAATCTGTGGAATTTGAAAAGCAGCTTCTCTGCACTATTTTCTTGAGCAGCTCTTTCTTTCTAGTTAAAAAAATAAGAGGAAAAATCCTAAGTGTACTATGGAAAAGAAAGTGTCTGGGGTTATTTATTGATATAGTCTGCTGAACTTGCCTATCCGTTAAAGCTATTTCAGACCATGCTATATCTGACCCAGTATACATTATGCACTCAAAAGTAATTTACAGTATTTTCTTAATTTTCTGAAATGTATACTGACTTCCCCAACACATCTAAATTAGTTACAGTTTAGATTAAATGCTTGATTTGATTAAATGTTTCCATCTAGAATATATCTTTTCAGATGCTGTATGATACCACTTATATGTGGAATCTAAAAGTAGTGAACTAATGAAGAAGAAACAGATTGACAGATCTGGAAAACAAACGAGTGGTTACCAGGGGGAGAGGGAATGGGGAGGGGAATACAGGAATAGAAGATTCAGAGGTACCAACTATTGGGTTGGTCAAAAAGTTCATTCAGGCTCTTTTGCACCATCTTACGGGGAAATCCAAACGAACTTCTTGGCCAACCCAATATTATGTATAAAATAAATAAGCATGACTTCCCTAGTGGTCCAGTGGTTGAGACTCCAAGCTCCCAATGCAGGGGGCGTGGGTTCAATCCCTAATCAAGAAACTATACCTCACATGCCTAAGAACCCCATGGCAACAAAGATCCCGTAGCTGCAACTAAGACCCAGCACAGCCAAATAAATAAATTTTTAAAAATAAAATAAAAAAGCTATGAGGATATATTGTACCACACAGGAAATATAGCCAATATTTTATAATAACTATAAATGGAGCATAACCTTTAAAAATTGTGTCTCACTATGTTGTACACATGTAACATCTAATACTGTACATCAGCTATACTTCAACTAAAAAATAATAACTCAATTTGATGGACTATTAAAAAAGAGCTTTTTTCACTGGCATAATATTCAATTTGTAATTATCACACACATACACAAAAACCTGGATTCAAAGGGAATCAGCAGCTCTCCTACAAAGCAGTACTTTTTGCAGCGTCCTGAGCACCTTGCCTCTTTTCCTAGTAAGTGGATTGGCAGCTTCTCTCTGAAGGCCAGCAGTCAATAGAATTCTACCATGCCTCTTCACCACACCCATTCATTTTATTTTGTTGACTTAAGTTTTCATGAGAAAGACACGAAAAGGCCACAGTGCCCAACCCTGGTTGTTGTGAAGGGGACATCTGTCATGATCACAGACAAGCACAACATTCTAAATTCCTTCTGGTTACCAGCTGCCTTCAGAGTCAGGGTGGTGGGGGCTGGGAGTGGAGATGGTAGCTTGAAGACAGGAAGAGCTCACACAGACAACACTACTATCATGGGATGTTATTACTCAACATCTCTTAGAAGATTTACAATTTACTAGATGCCATTGGCATTTTCTAGATATTACTGCATTACACATTTATAGATAAACAGATGTGACAGCCACCCATGATTTCACAAGCTACAAATAAACCATTTAGGCAAATTTAACATTCTACCTCAAATCACTCCCACAAAGAAAAAACTCAGCTCCAAGGGTCTTATTCCTAGAATTTGCATTTCAAAAATCTAATAATCAAATAAGAGTTAAAGGCCTTATAAATAAATAGAAAAGATGACCATCTCCTGCTCACATTAAAAGTTGCCCTAGGTTGCTATTTTAGGTTACATTCTTAAAGTAAATGTGACAGAAGTCACTAAAGATAATCACATATGTATATATAGCACCAGACTTTCAAAAATTTTAGAGGAGACACATACATTTTTCATATACCTTGACATATTAAGAGTTATCTCTGAAAAGTAAGAGATATATTTTTTCTTAATTTCCTCCATTTATTTATCAATTCCTTTGAAGAGTTATGATTCAACACTAGAGAATATGTCTTAAAAGATGGTAATATTAAAGTAGGAAATGTGAGCAAAGAAAACCAAAACAAAATAAAAATGACCTATATAAATGATTCCTGGGTTGGAAAGATATCCTGGAGAAGGAAATGGCAACCCACTTCAGTATTCTCGCCTGGAGAATCCCATGGACAGAGGAGCCTGGCAGGCTACAGTCTATGGGGTTGCAAGAGTCGGACATGACTTAGTGACTAAACCACCACCATATAAATGGGACCACAAATAGAGAAATTAAATCAAATGAGAAATGAAACCATTACAAGAAGAAAACAAAGTTTAAAAAGTTGGGTGCTTAAAGACCCCTTTATTTCGTTCCTTTCTTTTACCTAGAAATACATCACAAAACTCTGTTTACAATATGCCAAACACAACTTCAACCATTAACAATTCCAATATATTCTCTCTGTTCTTAATTGAAAGACTCCTGAGATTCATATTCCAACATAGTCTTTCTACCATCTGAGAACAGTGACATTATTCTACCTTCAACTAGCCTCAACATAAAAACCATCCTATCAAAAATAATTTTATTATTGCTTTCAAAGCAAAATATAAACTCTGAGATTAGATTCCCTAGTATTTGTAGAATTTTATAGTTTAGATCATGCCAGAAGAGATACGTCATCTATACCCCAAGGTTTCTCAGTGTATATATATTTAATACTGTACAACAGTGCAAAGTTAAATCTATTTACTTGTTGCAAGCAGGTTGCTGGAGGTGAAAGTATCAGGAGTAGGTAAGTAACATAAACAGACCAACTACGTATGCTCTTGGGTTATTTCCCCTATGTGGGATGGGACTAGAAGACAGATGTTTTAGGGAGATAAGCCATATCTATAGACATCACTATGCTGGCTCCATCAGGCAATTCCAGGTAATTAATATTCTGCTGCAGCAGAAACGGCATGAATGGTTGTTACACGAGAAAACTCAAATGAACTAGAAACCTGGAAAAAATGAAAGTTGGCTCTGTTCAGCCTCTAGTAGTAATAATAATAATAGCCTACATCTTACTTACCAAAAATGAAATAAAGGCCACTTAAAAACATGACTAAGATTTATTTTTTACTCCCAAGGGAAAAGATATACAGTCCTAATGAAATGCAAAGGAAACCCATTTTTGACAACAAAGAAAGCTGCAGAAGACTTCTAACTATCAGTGGTAAACCAAACCAAACAAACAAACAAAAGCCCTAAAATATAAATGACATTTTTTGCTACATAAATTAATACTATACCTGGTTTACTGGGAATCCTGTACTTTGCAGGTTGGCATATTTGTTACACAACACAAACCCTGCTAGTCAGGTGCTATCCTTTGCACAACAAGATAATGCAACTGACAAGAGTGACCTCTGTTCAGGCTTGAACTCTGCAACTTTGCTTTAATAGTAGAGACAGATTTGATAAAACAGCTCCCCCTCTCTCCTGACATCCCAGATGTTGAGTCAGGATTTAAGTATCAAGGAGTCAAAATCAGGCCAGAAAAGCTGACAGTCACAGCAGCGAAAGTCTAAAAGCCAGGCCTTAAAACTCTTAGTTTTCTTAACTTCAGGGCTACTCAGTACATTAATAGGTTACACTGTGTTGTGCTTAATCAGAGTCAATACAGACCACTGACCCAAACTCAGCAAACACTGACCTAATTTAATGGGCTAAAGACAGCAAAGTCATATCTTGCTAGAGTGGCTCAGTGTTCCTCCTCAACTTTCTCCAGTGACCTACGGTGAACAGGTTCAGTCAATTATGGGTGGCAAATCCCCGTGGTTCCAATAACCTCCAAAACCAAGAAGGCCCTAACTTGCAACCATCAATCCTTTCTCACTTCCTTCAGCCCTCCTCCTCCAAAATCTACGTCAATATCTGAAGAAAACAGACCAACAACCTTCCAAGTATCAAATAGACAAAAAGTATAAATGACGCTGCATCAATTATCTTAAGAAGCCAAAACATCTTGCCCTATTGACACTGAGAAGCCGAGCACCAAAAACAATATTAACGGCACTGCAAACGTATTATAAAAGAGATTTCTTCAATAATCTTCATGTGATTTATTTCAAAATGTGATCAGAAAAGATCAGAGAGAAAAAAACTGACAGAAATGCAAGCGATCTTTTTTTTTTAAATTAAATTTGATTACCTAAAGGTGTCAACCTACCTTAAGTTTAAGTAAGTCAGCATCTGCAGATTAATGATGGCCTCCGGAATGACTCTGATACAATTATGATACAGATTAAGAATTTCCAGTGATACAAAATGGCACAATTCCATTGGAACTTCAACCAGTCTGTTTTTAGATAAATCTAAGAGAAAAGGAAAGAATATTTTGTCAATAAATCTTCAACATAATCCAACACAATCTTTTCAACTACCAATACCTTTTCTTTAACACATTTTAAAATAAATATTATAATCTAAATTTAAATCAACATTATTTTTTGTACCACTGTTACTACAAAGTTGTGATTCCCATTTCCTAGCATTATAGCCCAATTCATATGGAAAAACAAAAATACTACTGAAACAGTTTTAGCTCTCTACATCAGTTTGTAAATTCAGGCCAGGTATAGCGTAACTGAATCAATATTTACTTTTTTCTCCATCTGAAAATGGTTTCTCCCCCAGATGAGTATGTAAATCAAACCCTTTAATATATCTGAATGCACGCCTTTGCCTTAATATTTAAACTATTTAATTCAATTTTGCATTCATAACATATTGTCTCTCAGAACATGTCTTTTATACCTTTTCCAAACAAACACACAGTAGATACTAAACAAGTATTTCATTCACTAGAATTACTGAGTACCTACAGTGTACTAGAAAGATAACTCGGTTGTCTGTTAAGGATGGATGCCGTGTCTGCTGCATGATCTGCAGTAAAACTGGCTCCCTTGGCCAAAGACGGTGACAACGGGGACTTCTCTGCTGGTCCCCGAGCTGAGACTCCGCGCTCCCAATACGGGGGCCCGGGTTCCAGCCCTGGTCAGCAAACGAGATCCCACATGCCCCAACTAAGAGTTCACATGCTGAACTAAGACTCCATGAAGCCAAATAAATAAATGAATAAATAAATAAAAATTTTAAATAAAGAGTAATAACGGTCTACACAGTAATATAAACATACAATTGACAGTATCACCATCTCAACAATAAAAATACGGAATCGTCCTTAACGTCCAAATCTAGGAGCGGTGTACACGACTGTAAAACGCCATAGAGCACGGAATACAAAAAAGAGCTGCCACTCTTGAAAACAGTAACTCAGCAACAACAAATCACCTCGCCCTTGGTTAGGCAGGACTTAATCAGTATGCACCGAAGATGTTCAGTAAATAATATTTCAGATTTACTGAAGGAATCACACTACAGTTGTGTGTACTCATGAAACACAAATCAAAAATCTACCTCCCCAACTGACCTTCCAGTAGACAAACACATAAATAAACAAAAGCAGGTTAGATGCCTTCAGAGGAAGAAATCTGGGAAAATTCTAAGGGACAACTCTGATCGTATTTAAACCATTTCAAACCATGTGATAGGAAGGAAAGTTTTCAAATTCTTATTTAAATAGTAACAGATGATATTGATATCATCATCTAACAAAAAAGTACACAACAAGGAAACTACATATGAATCTCCTTTCTAAATACATGTGTGAATCTAAATTTAACATGAGTCGACAGAATTAAACACTTACCTAAAAAGAGTAACATACTAGGATCAAGTGGGATTCATTCTAGAAATATAAGTATTTTCTAAATTAAACATGTCATCAAATAAAGAGTGAAACATGAAATAGTATATGATCATATCTCCTCTTAACTTCTTTCTTTCCCTTCTCCTATGATTCACATTACAATAAACATCTTTTAGGGTCTCTGAGAGTTTCAATAGGAAAGTCACATGCAAAACTATTAGCTGTTCAGGATCTGGCCTACAGGGTCACCCTAATCCTTTAACTGAGCTATTTTGGATTTTTCCAATTCTTTCTTTTGAGAGTATTACTGATTATAAATAAAGTTATAAGGTGTTGACAGTGGGCACATGAATGCCCAGCCTACAATGAACAGACCAAATGAACAGACCTCCATGTCCACTGAGTTAGTGAGAATTTACCTATGTAACATGCCCTTATCATCCTGGGTTTGGGTTCCAGTTTCTGCGTTAATAGGGAAGAAATAACAAAACCTCCATGGAGCTTAGACTCTTTCAATCCCTATAGAGAAACAGTTGCCTAGCTTAAATTAAAACAAAACTGAAATACAGAAAAACCACAAGTTTTCCTTTCCTATTTGCTTAGATTCACTATCCAGATGATAAATTATTGATGGATTCATCAACATTTACTAAGTACATGATTTCTGCAGAAAAGAAAAACACAGAGGACTACTTTCTTTAAAGTTTATAATTTGATAGATAAAAGGAGGCAAGCCCTCAACCATAAGGTAAAAGGTTCTAATTGGGCTTAAAAAAAAAAAAAGAAGACGAAGAAGATATAAAGGAGTAAAATCCAGGCGGGTATTTGTTATCACCCCTTGAGCACTCCCACTGAGCCAGATACCATATCTGGAGCTTTGCGTCTGGTAACTCATTTAAACCAATGCAAGGAGCACCACCAACCTACAGATGAGGAAACTAGGCTCAGAAAGCTTCTGTGACTTGCCCAAAGCCACAGGAAAAAAACCATATTCACACCTAAGTATGTCTAACTCCAAGGCTGACCGAGTTCCCCACAAGGGCCCACCCTTTCTCCTTGGAGTAATGGTCAGATCGTGTATCCCACAGCTAGATTATTAGGAAGATATGGCTATTAAATCCTCACTGCATTTTTATTTGTCCAAAATACAGTAAAAATCAAGTCAACATGTTCTGTGTAAAAACCCAGAGGACAAGAAAGTTAGAAACATTACATTCAAAAAAGAAAGTACTGAAAAGAACGTCACCTGATGGGCTAATTTCCGGAAGTAGTTAAAGGAAACTCGGTAAGTAAAAACTGGCTTAAATTGCCAATTATCCTAATCTTACATAAATACTCTGTTTCACTGAAGAGTTTAGAATGAGTTTTCAAATACATCACTTTTTCCTACTTGGGTCTGAATATCATCTAATTCTCAACTAACTTTCTTACTGGAAGAAAGAGGAACAACAACAAAAAAGAAACAGGTTTGCTTTCCTAGGATTTACTGAGGCTCCTGAAGACATTATTTTGTACCCTTGGGCACCCACTAACTCACCATGGGAAAGATGCCCAGAAAGGCTGGGAAAGTCAGTCTGGATTAAGACATTTTGATTTTGATAATCCAGAGTGGGTAATCCGATTATAAACAATGGGGGAAAATGTCATACAAATTTGTTAGAAAATTTTCCTGTCAGCTGAAAGCAAAGAAATAAAACATGGTCTGATCCTTCTTTAAAAGCAAAACAAAGAACCATAAACAAACAAACAAAAACAAAACACACAAGAAGGAAGAAGAGAAAGAAATCTAGGATTTAGCTGTAATTAAATTCGTGGGCAGACAGTTCAGGGTGCCTACACAGACATGCGTGTCTCTAACTGGGACTCTTACAGGGCAGGTCCTTGCCGGAGGCAGAGAGAAACTAACCAGGAGTCGGGCAGTTGTAGTAATAATTACAGACAGACGGGAAGAATAAGACTTCACAGATAACAGGCAAGTGTTAAGAATGCAATTTGTATCTTTATTTTGAAATACAACCCAAACCAGCTTGGGCAAATGAATCAGGCGCTGTGAGAAGTCCAGTAAGTTCTGAATGATAGAAATATGTCAGTTCTTAAACTCGAGATAAACAGGGATGAAGAATCTGTGTTTATTTTTCTTGTGTGCTGCTCTAACTCTGTTATAAATACATGGAGCTATGAATGAAGCCACTTATGAAATCTTTTCCTAAATAGAGTATCTTCCTAGTATTTCTCAACCGCGTTAGTATACTGGGATCACTTAGAAGGCTTTTAAAAATCCTGAAGCCTGGGGTCCATGGCCAGAAGTATCAGGGTGTGATTCGGGCATCCTGGATGGCTAGTTGATTCCCACTATCCCTTTATTTTCAGACTTTATTTTCTTGGGTTCCAAAATCACTGTAGATGGTGATTGCAGCCATGAAATTAAAAGACGCTTGCTCCTTGGAAGACAAGCTATAAAAAACCTAGACAGCGAAATAAAAAGCAGAGATATTACTTTTCCAACAAAGGTCCGTGTAGTCAAAGCTATGGTTTTTCCAGTAGTCATGTATGGATGTGAGAGCTGGACCATAAAGAAAGCTGAGCACCGAAGAACTGATGCTTTTGAACGGTGGAGTTGGAGAAGACTCTTGAGAGTCCCTTGGACTTTGCAAGGAGATCAGTCAATCCTAAAGGAAATCAGCTCTGACTATTCATTGAAAGGACTGATGCTGAAGCTGAAGCTCCAATACTCTGGCGACCTGATGCAAAGAGCTGACTCATTAGAAACGACCCTGACTCTGGGAAAGACTTCCCAGGTGGCCCAGATGGTAGAGCATCTGACTACAATGTGGGAGACCCAGGTTTGATCCCTGTGTTGGGAAGTTCCTCTAGAGAAGGAAATGGCAACCTGCTCCAGCACTCTTGCCTGGAAAATCCCATGGCTGGAGGAACATGGTAGGCTACAGTCCATGGGGTTGCAAAGAGTTGGACATGACTGAGCGACTTCACTTTCCACTTTCACTTTCTTGGAAAGATTGAAGGCAGAGGCGACGACAGAGGATGAGATGGTTGGATGGCATCACTGACTCGATGGACATGAGTTTGAGCAAGCTCCGGGAGATGGTGAAGGACAGGGAAGCCTGGCGTGCTGCAGTCCATGGGGTCGCAAAGAGTCAGACACAACTGAACAACTGAACAACAATCCCGAGGGAAACGCAGGTGCTCCACCCTCTCAGCTTCCTATCTAAACCAAGACCAACCAACAGGTGGCGCTCTCCTCGGGGCAAGCAGTTGGGTCTGGGAAGAATCTGATTTAGACAACAGTCTTGGGAAAGAAAACCACACCAATTCAGCTTGATTCCAGCTCAACTAGTTCTGGATACGATTGGAGCAACAAAAATCCGATCTGCAATGGAGTTTTACATATCATCAGTTGGCTATGATCATAGAAAATTAGGTTTTTTCCCTTGTTGAATCTTCACCATAACCTAGGAAAGCAAGTGCCGTGATCACTCCCCAGTGTGTGCGGATACTGAGGTTATGTAATCTGCCTCAGGACACAGAGCTAGTAAGTAGCAGAGGCAAGAACTAAAACAGCAGGCAGGACACCAAAGGCCGGTT